CAGGGGAGCCACACCATCCGTTTGGCCCAGTTCACAGGGGAGCCACACCATCCGTTTGGCCCAGTTCACAGGGGAGCCACACCATCCGTTTGGCCCAGTTCACAGGGGAGCCACACCATCCGTTTGGCCCAGTTCACAGGGGAGCCACACCATCCGTTTGGCCCAGTTCACAGGGGAGCCACACCATCCGTTTGGCCCAGTTCACAGGGGAGCCACACCATCCGTTTGGCCCAGTTCACAGGGGAGCCACACCATCCGTTTGGCCCAGTTCACAGGGGAGCCACACCATCCGTTTGGCCCAGTTCACAGGGGAGCCACACCATCCGTTTGGCCCAGTTCACAGGGGAGCCACACCATCCGTTTGGCCCAGTTCACAGGGGAGCCACACCATCCATTTGTACAAAAGTGATTTCCTCTTGTGAAAGGATGCTCTAGTCCGCTTTGCCCAAGGATGCTCTACACCAAATTTGATTTGAATACATCCCTTCATACAAAAGGAGAACATTTTTCGAAGATTTTTCCATAATACATATTAATCATGAAAAGCAACAAACTAAAACTTACAGAGCATACATGCTAGCATGAGATATCTTAATAATCTACACAGGTCTGGTATACATTATACAACCATCATAGTCTGCATGTGTATAAACATTTCCTCATTCACCTACCCGTAGATGCTATGCACCATAAATCTAAGTATAGTTCAAACTTCCAAGCTACCATAGTACATGTATCACTGTTCACCAACATACACACACATCACAATGTGTACATGATCATTTGGTCACCATCATGCAATAATATTTCTACATTGTCGACACTAATACATGTTACTGCACTGTTTACATGTTCGATAATAGCCATATCATTTAATTGTATAAATATAAGGTCCTTGATGTATCCTGACCAGTACATACATGAAAATGTACAATATATATATAAACACACATGTAAACCAACTTTGATAAAAAAAAAATAAAAAAAAATACCCACTTGAATATCCTTGTCCATAGGGGAGTTTTTAACATTGATTCACTTCTACCGAGGTTTGTCTCATAAATTTGGAATTATTAAGTCTAACCCATCCTTTAAAAACATCCTTCCAAAATGGGTTACAACAGGTATTCTTTCCCATAATTATTCATTTTTTTAGGATCCAAAATTAAATTCAAAAGCTGATTCCATTTTCCAGATGGCTGAAACAGTCTTCTAACCCAACCTAGCTTAAGAGAATCTATAAAAGCATGTACATCAATCATCTTCAATCCCCCATTTATATAGTTTAGAATCACAACTACTTTTTTAATTCTATGACTTTTGCCATTCCATAGAAAACTGAATAACAAAGAATTCAACTTAGCAATATATTTTTCTGATGGGTTTGGCAAAGTGATAAACAGGTAATTAAGTTGGGAAATCAACCAAGACTTTATGACACTAATTCTATCTAATGGAGTCAAACTACGTCTATTCCAATTATTAACAAGATGCCCAGAGGGCCTGTATCGCTCACCTTAATATTTAAGCAGTCATAGCAAAATATTCTCATTCAATATTATATTGCACTACAAATATTTCCCTCGCAAACTTTGTCGGCTCCATCTGCTGAAACTACCAGCCAAATATTATTATAAGATTCTATGCTTTTTGGTTCTTCTTCAGAAGTTAATTGACATATTTTTCCCCGTGACCTTGAAAGTAGGTCAATGTCATTTTCCTTCTCATACTTTGTTAGCTCAGGAAGCCAACAGCCAAATATAAAGATTCTATACCTTTTAGTTTCTTCTTCAGAAGTCGTTTAAAGAGTTTTTACATATTTGACCGCTGTGACCTTGAAAGTAAGTCAAGGTCATTTTCATTCTCAAACTTTGTCCGGCTCAATCCAAGGAAGCCAACAGCGAAATATGAAGATTCTATACCTTTTAATTCTTCAGAAAAAGTCATTTGAAGCATTTGACATATTTGACCACTGTGACCTTGAAAATACGCCAAGGTCATTCTCAAACTTTGTCCGGCTCCATCCCAGGAAGCCGCCGCCCAAATATGAAGATTCTATACCATTTAGTTCTTCAGAAGAAGTCGTTTGAAGTTTTTGACATATTTGACCCCTGTGACCTTGAAAGTAGGTCAAGGTCATTTTCATTCTCAAACTTTGTCAGGCTCCTACCAACTAAGCTATCACCCAAATATAATGACTCTAGGCCTGTCCATTCTTCAGAAGTCGTTAAAAGGAAAAGTTGACTGACGACGGACGACACGCCAAAGCATAAGCTCACTAGCCCTTCGGGCAGGTGAGCTATTAAAAGCTTTAAGTTTAACAATCTTTTTGCCAAAATTCATTCTTGGAATCTCACATAAATTTACGGAAAAATCTATACCTAACAAGCAAATTCGTGGAATTTATATCCCCCGCTTGCAGGACATATTGTAGGTTAATATTGAGGTTAGGTTTAAACATGAATGTCGAACAAGGATATTGGGTTGAAAGTGGGTCAAGAACATTCATTTGAGCAAACTTGGTAGCGCTTCGTCCCAGCATGCTACAGGCCCAATTTCAGTATCCTGGACCGTTTGGTTATTGAGAAGAAGTCGTTTGAAGATTTAAATACATTTGACCCCTGTGACCTTGAAAATTCGTCAAGGTCATTCATTTGAACAAACTTGGTAGCCCTTCATCCCAGCATGCTACAGGCCCAATATCAGTACCCTGGGCCTTTTGGTTATTCAGAAGAAGTCGTTTGAAGATTTTAAGACAGTTGACCCCTGTGACCTTGCATTTGAACAAACTTGGTAGCCCTTCATCCCAGCATGGTTCATGCCAAATATCATCAGCCAGGGCCTCTTGGTTATTGAGAAGAAGTTGTTTAAAGTAAAAAGTTGACGCCGGACGGACGGATGAACGGCACACCATGCCATAAGCTCACTTGGCCCTTCGGGCCTGGTGAGCTAAAAATAAGACCTAGGTCTCTCTCACTCTTCTATCCATTTATACAAAATTGAGTCCCCTTGGACCAAGGATGCTTTACACCAAATTTGGTTAAAATCCCTCCATTCATACAAAAGGAGAAGGATTTAAAACATTTTCCCTATGCCATTCAGGCAGGTGAGCTTAAAACCACGGTGTATAATTCATAGCTGTACACAGATACTCTGAAAACTTGAATAATCACTAGTTCAACTCAAGTGTCCACCTTCACATTCCACAGGCTAGCAGTTTAAATCAGAGAATGATACTGATGTACTTACTTTTACAGCAAAACTCCCTCCTGTGAGCTTGTGGATGCAGCGTTTGCATACAGAATACGACCCAATACCAATATCCTGAAAATAAAACAAGTCTATTCGTCTAATGATCACAATATTATTCAGTATAACACCTACGTCACATACAAACACATTTAATATGAATTGTTGTGACATATCATCAATGATATTTTTTTCAATTTCTTAAGAAAGACCAAATGAATTAACAAACTTTATATATAGATTAATGCCTGAGCATTTTAATTTGTGTCTAATTTCACACTGTTCTTATCCAGCCTAATCTGCTGCAACAGTAAAATATGTAACATGTGTTTATTAGAATAAGTATATATCAAAAGTACATTATTATGCTTTTTGGTTAAAAAAAAGCTCAGAGTGAGCAAAAAATTGTACCTGCTCCATAGACGGAGATCATATGCTAGAACCAAACCTTATTCATAGGTCTAAGGGGTCAACTTTGTGGGCAGGCTTTCAGGAATTTGAACGAGAAGAGTGTCATATGTCCCGAGGCAATGATGATATATACTAAAAACATGCATAAATTACCCATCATCCCTAATTCTCATTAATAACTAATAATAATTTGAGGTTCTTATATACCGCTTTATCACCACCTAGTTTGTAGGTCGTCTGAAAGCGGTTCACAAATTATTATCCGTGGTTATAGGGCCTTTGCAACCAGCCAATATCTTTCTCAACTCCCTGGGGAGCATACATCTTGTGCTGCCATTTCGGCGCTCACAGCTAGCATTCTACAATTCTAGCACTGCCCAAATTTCAATGATGGTCTATTTTATAAATTCAGATTCTTAACTTCATACCACTGCAACTCATGCATCTATGACGTTAACATAAGTGATTAGAAAATGTACTGTACCTCTTTCATTTCATATTCATCAGAAAACTGAACTGACTTCACACCTGGCAACTGAAACATAACCAATCCAAGATGATTAAAATACATGCCATATACATCTTCTCTGTCAAATTTTACAGCAACATATAGTGTCCTTCACTTTCAGATCCTTGATGGTACAAAATGCTGTATTAGTTTGATGTCAAAATTACTTTCTTAAATTAGTGTTTTGAATGTCAGCACTTATACAGGATGTAGACAAGAGTTCCTCGAGACGGTACATGATACGCCTGTCAGATGTAGAATGAGCAGTTTGCCACAAAGGGCCATAAGTGCACAAGTTTTGGAGAGATAAGCATCAAATCTTATCAAGCTTGTCCGAGCTTTCATGGCAATGAACCTTCCTACCAAGTTTGAAATGAATCCATTCAAAATTACTCAAGTTATTGGCAGAAACTGTTTCGGCAATTCGACAAAGGGCCATAACTCCGAAAATAACTAGCAAATAATTTTGGTTATCGAACTTGTTCAAGCTTTCATAGCAATGAACCATCATATGAAGTTTGAAATGAATCCATTCAAAATTACTTTAGCTATTGAGTGGAAACTGTTTCGGCAATTCTACAAAGGGCCATAACTCCGGAAATCACTGGCAAATAATTTTGGTTATCAAACTTGTCCGAGCTTTCATAGTAATGAACCTTCCTATTAAGTTTGAAATTAATCCATTCAAAACTAGAACACTGACAGGTCAGTAAGGGCCCCGTCTTGTGGCAATATATCCCCCATAATCATCAAGAAGTAATCAGCCCGTATAGCTGAGCTTGACGTTTGACATTTGGACTTCAAAAAGAATTGCAAGGAAGCAAAATATACATTTTACATGTACTATGATGCGAGTCTTGTTTCCTTCCACCTCCATATTTGCTGGGCTAACAGAAATGTAAATACCGGTGCAATACTCATTTGTTAGCTTTGATTTGTTTTATTTCACCTTATATACCTCCTCCATCAAGAGCCAGGGTCAAAGTCAGAGATCCACTTTGTCTTTGACCTTTTGACCCAAATGACCTTGACCATTAACCCAGTGACCCTGATCTTTGGTCAGTTGACTTATTCTTTAATTCCGACCAACTTTGCTTC